ATGCCTGTGTGATCAGTTTGGGGGGTGGGGGGGAGGATATGGATACACCCACTGTCCCAGAGAGGTGGCCCTGTGGACAATAAGCGTCTCAGGAGCCAACCAGATACCAGGCTGAGTACTGGTCAGCTCTGCTTTTGGGGAAGGCGCACCTTCCTGAAACAGGTCCCATTTCAGCGTCAAACAGAAGCAGAACAAAGTCAAGTCTGCCCAAGACGACACACTGACAGAGTGGCAGCACCGAGGCAAGATTTGGGCCCCAGTTACAATTCTCCCACCAACTGGTTCTCTTCCAAACAATATCCCACCCCAAACAAGGGTCTCAGGAGGTAGCACCATGGGAGTGTACAGATGTGTCAGTGGGCAAGAACCCTGAATAGGTGCTTCACCTCTCACCCCTAACCCCCATCACAGAGTTTACCAGGGGCAAGGGGAGCCTCTTGCCCTAACTTTCTCTAATAGAGTAAGTGGAAGATGCACGTGCATTAGGTCCAACATGGCTGTAGGGCCCCCTGGAGAAAGGCCTCTGTTTCTGGCAGAAGCTGGTTCAACGTCCTGGGCTGCTCCCAGCAGGACCTCCCAGTACAGAGTCGCTGCAGCTGACCCTCCAGGATAGGGCTCCTTCTCTCCCCTAACATTCCCCACAAGGATGACTGAGGAAGAAAGGAGGCAGTAGCATGCAGTAGTATAAGACATCACCTACACTCCAATAGTACCTATGATCAGACTGGAGACAAGAGAAATCAGCACAGTTTGGATTCGCTTAGTAATATGACTTTTAACAACAATAGCATCTGGAACAAAGCCATAAACACGTGTGAATAACTGGAGGTCCAGCTTCTGGCCCATGCATCCTTCTCCAAGGAGGTGCCCTAGTCCAGAACCCACGACCACAATTAGATACAGCATCTTAATTTCAACCCTAGCCAATTTGGCCATCTGGTTTCCTAGCAAAACAGTAAATGTGATGAAGGATGAAGAATGATCACTACAAGAAGATACGCATAGCCGAAAACCGAGGGAAGAGAACAGGAAACACATGAACACAGCACAGGGTCCAATGCTGCCTCAAACCTGCTTACAGATGCAGCCATCCCTTAAAATGTGGCTTCAGACTACACCTTTAGTTCTCCACTGTCTGCAAGTTGGTCATCTTTCCAGATTCTTCTTTCCCATATTTGGGAAGCAATGAACACTGCTGCCCTAAGCTCCAATGTCTGTAATGTACCAAGCATTCACATGCTCTCATTGGGCCCATGGTGGACCTGCCAGCTGCCATACCCCTACATGGAACAGGACCAGGATCTCTTAATAATTAATCTGAAGAAAATATATGACTCCAAAAAGGATGGCCCACTGTCAGAATCATATTACACAACTATGTAAATGTAGTATAATAAACACCATGCAACATAAAGACATCAGATTTCTCTCCTGAAAATAATTCACTGAAGACTTGACCATAAAAAACCTCATCAGCAGCACAGGGGTCAGCAGAGCACGTTTCCCTCCCTTCTCCTGCCAGGTGTTGCTGAGTGCTTTCACAGAAGCTCTGCACTCAGCAACACAAACAAAGCCAGCAATACCCATCTCTGAAGTAGAAATAAGAAAGCCTGTGATAAACATGACTGTATTACAGAAACAGCAGTGGACACGGGTTCGACAGCCCTGGCATCTGGAAGTATCTCTGCCATCAGCTCCTAAAAGATGCTTAACTGTAAGGATGTTGAGTGTTGTTGCTTAACTAGCCTTAAACAGCAGTTATACCTACTGAGTAAGAGTTTAACATGAAATAGTCAGTGGATCTATGAACTCAAAAAAACATGTAATTTTGTAGATATATATGATGTCATTTTTACATAATTTTTAAATTACATCAATAAATTTCTTTTTGCACTTCTATAATTCAGGAGGATTTTCTATTCCCCAGAGTTGAGATAGCTATTCAACATATTTTGCCCAAAAAAACTGGTGTGAGCCTGGTGTTGTCAGTCTTGAGTAAATGGAACACCAACACCTACACCAGAACTGGAAACTGGGAGCCTCTGGAGCATTACAGAGGGGAGATTCTGAGGCTGTGTCAGGCTAAAGGGGAAAGAGCCCTAGAGGCTCAGGGCCTATCCTCCTGTGGGCATGAGAGACCAGGGGAGGGCAAGGGAAAGTGAAGAGGCAGTCAGAGACTGTGGTGGTGGAGGAAGAAGGTGGGAGATGGGACAACAGGGTCTCCTGCTTTCTGCACTGATGTGTGTCAGCCTTATCAGTGGCATCAAGTTGAGTGTGGTGTTCTGTGTCTTGTGAAACATCATTCTATTTCACAAGTATTTGGTCAATTTAGAAAACAAAGTTGTTATGAGCAGGATAACTTAACAGGAAAAAGGAGTAGATAGATGATAAAATAACAAAAAACCATTTCCACAATGGAAAAAAAAGAAAGGATTAGCTAAACAGATGTTTAACAGAAATAGGCAGCTTCTTATGAACACATACTATTTCTTTAAATCAGGAACCCGAGTTTCCTTTAGAAAAGAAAAAGGTGCCAGGTCCCAAACCTTCTCTTTTGTTACCATCAGCATCAGTCCTGCCATTACTTAAGTTCTGTCTTTAACTGGAGGTCCCACCAAAGTGACCAACAATCAGCATGGTGATTTTCTAGGCAAAAAATGCAGATGACTAAATTATTATTTATGTGACACAGAAAGTGATCAGTGCAGTAGTTCTACTTATCGTGTAGTGAGGTTGCTAAGAGAAAGTCAGTGGAAACTCGGAGGCAGGCAGGCTGGAACAGACATAAATCCACAGTAAATCCTGACTGCTCGTGTGAACAGGCCAATGAGGCATGGACAGGAACTAAGGCAAGGCAGCAGCACTTGGTGAGTGTGCAGAATGGGAGAGCGTAAAAAACACTCTTGTTTGGGGAAGTTTCAGAAGGTGGCTCTTCAGATGTGAATTCTAGGAGTCCTTCCTGAGCTGACAATTGTGGACAGAGCTGACGTGCCTGTTATAACTATCCACAAAAGCTGGTTCTCTGCCTTCAAGATGTATTTGGAATGGTGTTGCCTGATTAGGCACGGCGAAAGGATAGTAACAGAATAAAAAACCTGATTATATTTCAAAATCCCTGGTGGAATTTTGCTCAGAAATAGAGACAAAAACAACAGGGAAATCAAGATAAACAGACTTCACTTTTCTCATCAATTAAAGTTCAGCCACATCTTAATTAGGATCAATTGTCCTCCCTGTATGAATATAAACCATTAAATTGTCAAAAACAATGAAAAACTACTGATAGTGACCTATCCTTTCCTGCCCAGACCGACATCTCTGGCCCAACCAAGAGAAACATCACATTGAAGCTGCTGAGAACCGATTCTATTGTGCCTGCCCACAACTTCATCACCAAGGCAGCTCAGAGAAACTGTGGATTTTAATTTTGCATTTCTTAGGCTTTTTGGCTCTTTTCCATGGAAGCTATGTTATATTTATATATTAATACTGCTTCAGGACACTGATCAAAACCTCATGTGTATGTTCAAGGAGAAATTTTCAAGCCAAGAAACTCTAATTTAAATATTAGTAAGTGCAATTAGTAAGTGCGCTCTGATGGTTCAAGAGAAAATCCAAGGGCTATAACTATCCTTTCACTTCCTAGTCCAGCAATACATGCTCTCCACAACCGGCTCATGGTAGGCATCAGCCACTCATGGTAATAATGGGAAAACAGGTGTTTCAAAGGGGAGCGTGCACTTGGTTTTGAGAATAACAAGTAAATGAGTTCTATGCTCATGCTTATGGTTCACGTTTTATTAAAAAAAAAAAAAAAGGAAGATCATCCAGAATCTGTCATAATTATTCAAAAATTGCAAATATCACCTTCATAAAGACTCTTCAAAAAGGACAGGGAAATTATACATACACACACACACACACACACACACACACACACACGCACACACACACACGAGTGGCCCAGTGCAGGAGGGTGGGGGGTGTCCCTCAGCCTGGCTTGCACTCTTTCCAATCTGGGATCACTCTTGCAAGCTGGGACGACTGGCTCCTAACAGCTCACCTGCCTGCCTGACTGCTCCTAACCACTCTGCCTGCTGGCCTGCTTGCTCCCAACTTCACTTCTGCCGGCCTGCTCACTCCCAACTACCCACTGGCCTGATCACCCACAACTTCCCTCCCCTCATCCCCTAACCACCTCTATCTTGGCACCGCCACCAAGACTTTGTCCAGAAGAATGTCTGGAATGTCATATTACCCCTTTACTAGTATAGATTATTGATTTCAGTGAGGCAGGAAGAGGGAGAAAGAGACAGAAATATCAATGATTGGCCATCTCCTGTATGCCCCCTACTGGGGATGGAGCCTGCAACCTAAGCAATGTGCCCTGACCAGAAGAACCATGACTTCCTGGTTCATAGGTCAACACTCAACCACTAAGCCATGCCAGCTGGGCAAGGACATGAAAATTTTAATCCCTCGAATTCACCAGCAATTTTGCTAGATCTTAGAAAGCAAATCATTCCCTAGAAACCCTCACAGTTGGCACACTTCTCTTTGTGAAAACAATTCATATCAAATGTATTCAATGATAGTCTCTGTTGCTTTTTGTCCAAGATTAGAAAAAAGGCAGTAGCTGGAGTTTGACAGCAATATCCATGAACAAAACCTACTTGTTCTAATCTATAGCTATTGTACAAACACAGTGATCAACAATAATCATGTCAATTTATAGAAAACACGTAATAAACAGATGTGGAGTTTCATCCATAAGACAAAGAGCTACCTGAAACTCCACGAAGAGGCAGATGCAGCCCAGAGATCCACAGTCATTATGTCCCCATCAAATGTTCTTAGCCACCAAGTAAAGCCAATATTTCCCTGGAGCAAACGCAGCTCCACCCTCTGTCTCCTCACTCCTCGCTCCCTCCCTGTGGCAGTGCAGTGTCTGGGGATCTACTACAGCAAGCAGCATGGAGTGAAGGCAGGTGAGTACTTACCTGCCCATCCTGTCCCACGTGGTGTATCTGTAGATTGCCCTGCAAAATTGATGAAAAGAGAGATCAAGAATAAAAATGACTTCAAGACACAGTAGCAAGAACTTCTTCATGCCATTGGTAAATAACCAGCAAAACCACAAACACCAATTCTACAAAAACTCAACCCATGTAGAAATAAAAACTCAAAACAAAATATTTAAGCTGAGTTTACAGGTTACTATTTTTTCTTATAAAAACTAACAAACTAAAAACAAGACATTTTCACTCTCCACCCCAACCACAAATGCAAATGTAATTTTTTTTTAACTTTTATTTTGAGACAAGTTCAGATTCACAAGAAGAATCAAAAGTCGTACAGCAAGAATTCCCTGTACCCATAACCCAGCTTCCCCATGGAGACACCTTACATAAGGATAGTGCATTATCACAAGCACAAAATTGGCAGGGCACAAAACAATTACCCAGACCACAGGCCTACTGGGATCTCACCAGTTGAAAATTCATTTTCACTTGTTTAAAAAAAATAATGAAAGGTTCTGCTAATTGTCTCTTTGTAGACATCCTCATTTTGAAAAAATAATTACTTAATTTTTAAATGAACAAGGTAAAACTTCATTCTGATAAGAAGACAACTGTATATTATAACTTATTATAAAGTAATCATTAATATTATCAACAATGTCTTCTAATTCATTGCATTCAATTCCTAATGGAAACAAACAAAATACTGGGCTTCAGCTATGAAAACTGAAAAAAGGGATAAAATCAGTTTCAAAAGTTTAAATTCAACAATTATTCTTATGTCCAGCCTTGGTGGCTCAGTGGTTGAGCGTGGACCTATGAACCAGGAGGTATCGATTCCTGATCAGGGCATATGCCCGGGTTGCGGACTCAATTCCCAGTGTGGGGTGTACAGAAGGCAGCCAATCTTGATTTTCTCTCATCAATGATGTTTCTATCTCTCCCTCTTCCTTCCTCTCTGAAATCAATAAAAATATATTTTTTAAAGTAGTATGATTCTTTTAGCAAAAATAATATTAAAAATGTATGTTTATTATTTCCTTTTATTATTTATATCAATTTTCATTCTTTTCAAATGACTACCGGCAAATTAAGCATTCTAAGCGTACACACCTTGTAGACTGACACTTCTTAAATGTTTGGCTTCCCCTTGTCTGTGTCTTTAAAAATTAAGCCTCACTGCCCTTTAACAGGACACCCCACTTAGTCTGCAGGTGTCCTGCACCACTCTGTGCATTCCTGTGGAACTCACATTACAGTGAGCCAGAAGACTCTTCACTCACCATCCAGCTTCGTAACTCTGACAGTCATACCTTTCAGGGCCATCTCCAAGTTCACTGCCTGCTGCTCTCCTTCCCCGCCCAGAGCTTCAGCCACACCAATGTGCTTTCTCCCACTCCCTTGTTTAGACACATGACCATTACTGAACTAATTACTCCTATGAATGAATCAATCCCCTCCTCTGACCAGGTATTTACTGTTCCTCTCATAGGAATTCCTTCAGCCACGTATTCCCGTCCTTCCCTCAGAACCTCTGCTTATCTCTTCCCTTTGCAGGCTGGGCCCACGGACAAATCTCCGGCCGGGGTCAGAATGAAAGAATTTCCCTTAGAAAGCATCCCAGAGCCCCTCTCTGTTTTCTGCACCAGAGAATGCTCGTCACTTCTGGCTCCCCTAGCACACTCATCTCAGTGCACTGTGGGGAGCCTCTACCTCACATTTTCCCACAGCAGCAATAGCCTGCACAGCAACCTGCACTGACCAGGAGCTCAGCAAATGCCTTACACATGAGTCAGTAAGCAAATTACCACTATCTCCACCTCAGCACCTTGGGTTCTGGAAACTGAAAAGTCAAAGGGGCACTAATGCCTTATCTACTTAAGGAAAGCAGCCTAGCATGCCACTAGAATGTAAGCAGACGTGTCCACAAAGCAGCTCTAAAAAGCCATTTGGCACCACTGAACTAATCAGATGCTTCCCTCCAGAGGTTCTCCTGAAAGGTTCTTTGGCAAGTCAAGACTTGCACAGTCATGCTTTTGCCATTGGTGAGGCAACCCGACACCATGTAATAACACACCACAGTGTGCATCTGCACAAAGCTGGTACTATCTTTCCAGCCTAGAAATAAGTATGTTTTTTAGCTCCCAGCCCATGCTGCCAGGGGCAAGCCATTCCACGCCTTACTTGGCCAGCAAAGCAAGTGTGCACTGTTTGGCAGCCATGGGACAAAGTCAGAGGAAGACAAGTATACCGAGTCTACTGATGCTATTCTGTGCTGTCAACCACAGAGGCAGCCAACCACCACCCATGCTCTGTACAAGAAAGCTAGAAAGGCAAGGTCACCCCTGAGGGGCTCAGAGAATATCAGCGCCATGACCAGCTGGCCTCACCTTCCAACAACCCAGATAGATGGTCTACCTGACCTTCACACACTGACCCCCTATAGCAGCTGATGCACATATGGAACAGCACTTGTGCAGCTGGGATGGACTCCCTGCATTCTGTCTTTATCATGGATTAGAATTAATGGAAAGTAGAACACCACCTGTGAAAAGAAGCCTGGATCTCATGAACTTAAGGCAGCTGAGGCAATCCTACGAGTGGCAGGAATGAGGAGAGCCATGAAAAGATGTACTGAAAGCTCATAGGATGTACATGTGCAGTCTCACCAGTTTCCAATCAACCCATATTGTGGGCACTGGTTTTCCAGACAGAGCACAGGCTCACAGAGACAAGGAGAACCTATGAGGTCATGTTGCAGGAGCAGAGCTCCACCTCCTGCTCTTCCCACTCCCCATGCTGGCGAACTCCCCGGGGCAGGAGAGCAAGGCCGGAGCCATGCTGGGAACTAGATCTTCATCTCAGATGGGAAGACAGGAAAGCAGGGTGGGCATGGAGAAAAGGGGTATTCAGAGGTCAGCACCAGCCAGAAGCAAAAACTGGATATAGCAAGTGTTGACAAAGAAAACTAGACTGCCCATATAAACTTTCAGTGCAGCAAAGGCAGGAGGACAGACAGGGTCAGTTTGTGCCCAAGGAAACGAGAGTAAGGTGGTCAATGCTGGACATCATGTTGTCTGGGGATTCCCAGTTGTCTGCCCCATTTGACAAAGATCAGTATGCAGAAAGCCCACAGGCAGTGCTGGTGGCCACGACTCACCTCACTGTCCTGCGTGATCTGCACCTGCTCCCCTTGAGGCACCTGAGCGATGTGGAGGTGACCCTGTGGGATCCGCAGCGAGAGAAGATAACAAGAAGCATCAGAAGAAAATCAAAACCAGAGGAAACAAAAAATTATTTCCGAAATTTTTGTTCTTAACTATATGCTCACAATTCAAAAAAAAGACCAACTAAATCCTGAATAGTGTAATATAATATGTACATAGTATTAGCTACTTAATAGCCTCTTGAAATTAAACTGTTAGTATATAACACATACAGAATATTTTGCAATAATTCTTAAAGGAGCAATGGAGCGATGATGTTTCTCATTCTCCCTCTTCTTCCCTTTCTGAAATCAACAAAAATACTTTTTTTTTAAATAAAATAAAATTCTATCTTAATGAAAATGAATAATAAAGTAAACTACTATAGAAATTTCTATTGATTTCATTTTACTATGTCTTGGGAAAATTCTGTTAAGTCTTTAAATTTGTTTAAACTGAACAGGCAAATTTCAGAATATCAAGAACATATAGAAAAAAATGCAAACAGGAATTTCCAGAAAATTAGAATAACATTTTTTTTTTTTAAATCATACTATTAACTCAGGGTGATCAGAAACTTTGTGTGCCCTAGTTTGTTTGGCTCAGTGGATAGAGCATCAGTTTCTGGACTGAAGGGTCCCAGATTCGATTCCAGCCAAGAGCACATGCCCAGATTGTGGGCTCAATCCCCAGTGGGGGGGACATGCAGGAGGCAGCCAATCAGTGATTCTCTCTCATCATTGATGTTTCTATCTCTCTCTCCTTTTCCTTCCCTCTCTGAAATCAATAAAAATGTTAAAATAAAAAGAAGAAGAAACTTTATGGAACTACCCGGCAAGGTCTCCCAGAGATCTGGGAGTGCGGCATGGCTACACAGCAGTGTGGGATTGTGGGGAGGAGACTTGTACTTGTGTATCTACATCGAAAACAGGGCAGGCAATATTTTTAAAGTCAAAGAAACACATGACTATTTAAATAGCTGGAATAAACACTAATAAAGAAATCCAAGCATCCAACTATACAATGCATTTATGTTTGTAGAAACAGAAAATAAATAGTTCCAATAAACCTTAACTTTGCCTAGTGATATTGCTCAGTGATATGAATGCCCATGATTGTATTTAAAAATTCTATCTTGTCCTAGCCAGTTTGGTTTAGTGGATAGAAAGTCAATCTGGGGAAAGAAGGGTCCCAGGTTCCATTCTGGTCAAGGGCACATGCCCAGGTTATGGGCTCAATCCCCAGTATGGGGCACTGATGTTTCTCTCTCTCTCCCCCTCTTCTTTCCTTTCTGAAATCAATAAAAATACTTTTTTAAAAATAAAATAAAATTCTATTTTAATGAAAATGGATATTAAAATAAACTACTGAAGAAATTTCTATTGATTTCATTTTACTATGTCTATGTGTGAACTATGTCCAAGTTATTCTGAAATTCTTTCACAAAACTTAAAGAGTAACTAACTGCCTTTGTGACTGTTAATTAAACAACGAATTCACTACTTTTAACTGCTTCATCTCCTCTGGAAGAAAAAAAACTTCATTAATAGGCCTCATCAATACTTTCTGGAAGCCCACCCCTTTCCAGGCAGTGTAACATCAAAATGAGATCACCCTTGGATGGGATTCGGGTTCCAGGAGAAAGCCCTGGTGATGCAGTGTACAAAAAGAGTCTGGGTGTGACTCAAAAATCAACACAATCTCAGGGGCACACTGAAAACATCCTGTTCTCTAGCAAAGTTCCTGCCCCCACATCTTGGCCACAGAACCCACACAGGGTCTGGAGAAATTTCCACCTGGGTTGGCACCACCACGGACAGAACAACAAGGCTCAGTGGACTCATCACTGAGCTAACTGCCCACACAAGCTCAGTGCATGTCCCACAAGCCAAAGGAAATGCTAAACAATAACTAAGGCCACCAGCTTTTTCATTGACCCCAGAAGGAAATTATTTTTTCTTCCCCCAGCACTTGTGTTTCCAAAGTGAGAAAATATCTATGACACCTCCCAGGAGGACAGGATGCAGCATGGACCCTTAGAGCTGATAGTGACCACTGGGTGCAGCACAGCCATGAAGGGCAGGGCCCTCGACAATGTCAGGGTCACCCAGCAACGACCTTCCTTTTGAAATGTAATTGTTCATACCCTAATTACTTCTACTTTAACATGCATTTTTCCCTCATCCCAAACTATCCACGTGATCCAGAAAACCAGGGAGAACTGATCTTGCTTTTCCCAATCTCCACCACACCCTCTCTTCCAGTTCATTCATGGAGACAGGCTAGTAGAAAGGTACATACTACTTGGACCTGTCCATCCTCTCCAATCTGGTGGATCTGGACCTGCTGGGCGTTGGCCAGGGCATAGTGCAGGGCCTGCGGCTGGGGCTGTGGTATTTCAGTGGCGGGTGGCGGCGTGCTCATGAGGCTCTCTGTGGGAAAACAGACGGCTCAGCATCAGCGCAGCAGACAAGTGTAGGTGCACACATCTAGGCTGCCTTCTCTTCCCCAACCCCAAGCCTAAACTCCCACAGAAGAAGAAAGGAAATTCTTCATTCTGAAATCCAAATCAACATGTCCCAATGGGAAAGCATGGCATTTTGTAGAACTTATCAGTAATTAGCATTACATAACGAAGATTTCTGACCTGTAGATAGAAGGAATCTAAAGAACTGACTATTCACCAACAGACCATTCACATCTACTTATTTAAATGAAATTCCTCAGGATATATATTGACAAGATAAAAAAATACAAAAAAAGTAGATGTTAAACTCTATTTTAAATCAGCAATAAGTAATATTTGTCCTTGGACAATTAAACTAACTAAAGAAAAAAGCTCCAGTCACTTATTTAAAGATACACCTCTAATAAAATTTTACTTTTTATGTTTAATCCAAAATGATATGTTTGGTTTGGTAATGTGTATTAATTTTAATTGTAAAATCTCAATCAGAGAAATTTTCTTAAGTACTTTTACTAAAGAAAAGCTTTTTATGAATTTTTTTAAATAATTTAATGATGGGCATCAAATTGACATAGTATATTGAGTTCCTGCATGTATGTTATTTTAAGTAACATAGCAGCCCAACCAGTGTGGCCCAGTGGTTGAGCATCAACCTATGAACCAGGAGATCAACACGTGCCCAGAGTTGGAGCCTCGATCCTCAGTAATGGGTGTGCAGGAGGCAGCTGATCAATGATTCTCATCACTGATGTTTCTATTTCTCTCTCCCTCGCTGAAATCAATAGAAATAAATAAGTAAATAAATAAATAAGTAATATAGCAATATGCCTGAAATTACATCCTTTTAAATTATTTCAAAGTAGAATTAAAAATTTTAGGCGTCAACATTTTAAAATGTCAACATAAAAATATGCAAAGAAGAACACTTTTCCAAACTTCTTTAAGGTGGTAATGACCAAAACATTTAAAATCCACTCTGCCAGTTAATAAGAACTATATAACTAAATAGGTTCCTAAATAATTTCTGCTCCAATGTTAATAAAAATCAACTAATTTTGCTGGTTTTAAAAAATATAACCTAAAGGAATGACATCCCCAGGGTTCTAAAATACCATAGATGATAGGATTTGTGTGTATAATGGTTCCCAAATCTAAAATTCAAATTACTGAACTTACCATTTAATAAATAGCTCCCTATAATTATACAACATGAAGACCACTTTAAATTCATGTTTTGTAATTTATATAGATATCAAAGTCTACTACAAAAACTTGCATTGGTGACTTTGTGATCAAGAACAGACCAAGATCTACAGCAAGTGACATGAGACAAGCATGGTTGGATTGACCCGAGGCCAAGGGACAGTGCTGGTGCGGCTCTGGAGCACAGTGCCCCCTGCAAGAGACTGAAGCAGAAAGGACAGGCCACCCAATAGGCTTCCTCTCCTCCCTAGCCTGGCTCTTCTCTATGTCTAGTGGAAAACCAGCTGCAAGAGCTGGTTCCCTGCAACTCTAAAATATTGGGCACTAGTAGATGCCTACCTAAGGTCTTCATCTCACCAATGAGACCTGTGGGGGGAAATGCTGAATTGTATTTTAAACAGTAATTTGTAGCCATCTTAAAATCAATAAAAATGTATACAGTGTTGCTAGATAAGAGAGAGCAACTCAAATGTTTTAATAAACTGATTTTTTTAAAACACTTTGAAACTGGTGGCTTTATGGTTTGTGTTCAAACTGGCAGGACTAACCTTGGCTCAGAATTTTACTTATAGCATTTACTTGGAAGTTCCTTTGATATCAGCTGATAATTAAAAAGTAAGCAAGACACCCCAGTTGGAAATACTACCAATAACAAGATCCTGGTTCAGTTACATTTTACTGAATTATTTCTGTCACCAGAATAGCCTTACATATCAGATTTGCTTTGTTAGACTGAGTATGCAAAAAGAACAATAACTAAAATTCCAGAAGTCCCTTTAAACACCTATTTTGTTTTACCTAGTTTTAGCCAAGTATGCAGGATATTAAAATAGAGAACAATTAAATCAACACAAACTTAAAAAGCAAGGTGCTTTTCTTAAAGTTGGATTTTTAAAAATGAATATGTTCTGTGTTTCTCTCAAAATTAATCTGATTGCAGTGCTCACAAAGAGGAAGCTTCAAGCCGTCTTGGTTGTGGCTTCCCACTGACACAGAAACAGCATTCTCGAACTTAAACTGACATGTGAGCACAGAGTTAAGACTTGAATTGCTGGTGCTTAAGTGGCAGCTACAGATTCTGCGGGTAAGGGGACTCATTCAGGACCACCCCCAAGCCCTACAACGCAAACTGCTCCAGGCTGCCCCCCTAAGCGTACCCGAAGCACTGTACGAGGAGGAGGATGGCGTTCTCCGAGAGAAGCTCTTGACGGCCAGACTCTGGCCTCGCTGTTTCCGCCGCCAGGCTGTCCGGCATTTGGAGTCGATGCTCTGTTTGATTCGGTACCAGTCAGATTCTGTGATTCCAAATTTATAAAAGAGGTGACCTGGAAGAAGATGTCCCAAATAAAAGCACCATGAGGTGAAGGCCTTCCTTTTGGGTCCTGGCTGTTTGGGAGCAATTTGAACACAAAAATGTGATTGGGACTGAGAGCCCCCGCCTCCACCCCACAGGAATGCTGGTTATATGTTGTAAAATATTTTCATTTATTTAAGTTTTAAATAACTCTGATTGGACCCACCCAAACCAGATGGAAATAAGGTAACAAGCTAGGTGGTGAGGCTCACAGGAGCTTCCCAGATGCTCCACAAACTTTTCTCTCTCCTCTAACTTCCTTAATGTCAAAAATAAAATCAAAGATCCCAACAATTTTATCAAAACTGTTTTTCCAGGCCCCAGCTCTGTTCATTTATGTCTTCCTGGCTGCCTCCCTCCCTTCTTTCAAGTCTTGGCTCCAATAGGACCTCAATTATCCTATCCTTAACCAGCCCCTTTGACCCTAAGGTTCCTTCCACCTCCACTCCCATCCTGGGTCTCTAACATTTTAGAGAATTTACATATTTATTGTGTTTACTATGTTTCTCTCACAGACACAGGGATCTTTGTTTTGTGCACCCAATAAACAAGACTATCTGAGCCCATAGTAAATGCTTCAAAACTCAATGACTAATTAGTGACTACAACTCTTCTTAAAACATCTCCACTGTAACTTCAGTTCTGTCTGGCTTGTGGAACTCTCCATCTGCCTCCCCATCAGAATGAAAACTCCCTAAGAGCAGAGATGATTTTTTACTCCCTAGAGCAGCGGTTGCCTACCTTTCGGACCTCATGGACCATCAGTTGGAGACCACTGCCCTAGAGCCCCCACATCCAGACAGAACTGCACTGCTAGTCACAGAGGGTGCATGTAGCCTTGCATTTAACCGAGCATATTACTGGCACCCACATTTGTTAACCTCTTAAATCACAGACAGTTCTCAGTATGTGCCACCCCTTATCAACAAAGAGGAACCCAGTGACATGGGAGGCCACTGAGAAGTGAGTGGCAGATGGAGACCCTTCATTGCCAACCCTGCTCACCTCTCACTAGACCACACCACCTCTTCTTTATGCTGAATCAACAGAAAGTAAGGTCATGAACGTGGGAACTACAAGAAATGCTTAAGCACGGTGACCTCCTCTCTAGCTGGCTCAACTTCACTGATTAATGGGAAAACAAATGGATGAAATTCAAAAACTGAATAATAAAAAGATTAAGCTAAAAAACATCCTGTTTCAACTACTAAGAGCATTAAGTTAGGACTATCTACTGAGAATTAACTTGATGCACAATTCCTAAAATGTGTCCCTCTCAAGACCAAAATACTACAAATAATCAAAACAAAGGCAGTGTTTGTTCTCTTAAGTACTATATTAAGTATCAAAAGTTTCTTTCATCTTGAAAATACATTTCTGGAGTTTTTCTATGAGCATATGCTTAAGACATCTTCGACTAAATGTAATGAAAACCCAAATTTCTGTAATCTAGATTAAAAAGAAATTGAGGTAAGGAGGGGTAGGATTTATAGGATCTGAAAGAACAAAAACCTGAGTAGTTTTAGCAGCACTGTAATCCTCATGCATAGAAGGAAATATGTAACTGAAACAGCATGAACCTTTGCTTTCTGATATTCAGGTCATCTCTAAAATAATCATCGAATCACTCATCAATACCTACTGAGTGACTGCTACATGCCAAGTATGGCTTTCAGTGCAGGGATGCCTCACAAAGTTCTAGGCTAGTGACCAACATTAGTGGTAACAAAGCCAACCACTGCCATTATTGCAGAAGAACCAAATATTAGCTGTAGTTGTATAGTCACCGGAGAATCCAACTCCTGACTATAGTTACAGGGGAGTGAAACTATCAGAACTATAGTTAGGTAGCTATAGGAGACCCCAACTCCTAACTATAGTTGCATAGTTGCCCAACTACAACTATAGTCTCCAAGACAAGAAAAGAAACAGCAATCACACACAATATAAAATATATTATCTATATCTATATATATAAAAGCCTAAGCAACCATTACAGCAGAACAACCAGTCGACCAGTTGCCATGTTCGCACTGACCACTAGGGAGGTTTCCTGGATTGCAAGAGGGCACAGGCCAGGCTGAGGGACACCTCCCCCACCCCTTCCGTGACAAATTTAATGTACCAGGTCTCTATTTAAATCATATGCTTCAAGAGAAACATTCTAGCCCTAGCCAGTTTGGCTCAGTAGATAGACCATTGGCCTGCGGACTAAAGGGTCCTGGGTTCATTTCCGATCAAGGACACATGCTTGGGTTGTGGGCTCGATCCCCAGTAGGGGGTGTGCAGGACGCAGCCAATCAATGATTCTCTCTCATCATTGATATTTCTATTTCTCTCTCCCTCTCACTTCCTTTCTGAAATCAATAAAAGTATATTTTAAAAAAGAGAAACAGCCGGGGCCGGTTTGGCTCAATGAATAGAGCGTCGGCTTGGGGACTGAAGGGTCCCGGGTTTGATTCCGGTCAAGGGCATGTACCTTGGTTGCAGGCACATCCCCAGTAGGGGGTGTGCAAGAGGCAGCTGATCGATGACTCTCTCTCATCGATGTTTCTGACTCTCTATCTCTCTCCCTTACTCTCTGTACAAAATCAATAAAATATATTTAAAAAAGAGAAACATTTTACAAACCATCTTCCTGTTCTCACACCTTCACATTCAAGGAAAACCAACTGAATGCCTCAAGGGATAAATGAAATTATACACAATTTTAAAAATTTGTCAAGAACAGAAAATATATACAAGATACACATGGTATATAAATACAAGAAATGAGCAAAAGCGTGAACATGTAAATCCAACTTTGTAAAAACCAATTTGACAGTCAAAATCTGGCATACATCCTTGACCAAAAAAAAATATACATTCATAGTTATATATTATCCATTTTTTAATTCTCCTAAGACATCATATTACATAATTCCTTCCAAAAGCAACTCAAGACTCAAATGCATGGCAAATGCCACCCTAATGACTGCCAAGAAAACTAACTAATGAATCAGCAACACAAATGTTCCCCTGCTGAGAGCCCTAGGGGGAGCGACAGGGGATGGATCCAATGGGGCAGTGCCCTCAGCTCTGCCCTCAGAAACCCTTGGCCATCAGCGGCAGCTCTAGGAAGGAATCCTGACAGCAGAGGGTACAGCCCCCTGACCGCAAGTACTGCTGGATGCTGCTATTCTGACTTTTCCTAAAGCATACTTCATTTGAACTTAACTGGTACTTCACAATTGTAAAGCATTTTATTTCATAAGAAAACCTCATAAAATGAGAATGCCATTACCCTCACTTGAGTTACAAGCTGAATTATCAATTAGGAGTGAGACCTGGCTTTAAAATTCGGCCTCCCAGCACCCACTCATGTGGAGAAGAAGTGGTCACAGCATAACTCCAGGAGTGCTATACTCTGTACCTAGGAGACCCCCTCAGGGACACTCAGGGAACCAGGGAGAAGATGACATCAATTTCATGCCACAGCCACTGCCCGTATAACTCCCTACCACGAGGCGATCACTCTGGCTGCCCTATATAGGAGGCACAGCTCACTCTAAGGCCATTTCTGGCTGCTGCCCAAGGGTCCTTGTACAGGGTCCCTAAGGAGCTGCAGAACCATCTCACCCGAGGGTGAGCCACATAGCTCTCTCAGTATCTTTGTGGGAGAGCTGCTCAGCAGGCAAGCCCCCAGGCCACTCCCAGATCAGCCCCTGCAAGCTGGCCCATCTGCTTTGCTGGCAAGCTATCTGGCCACCTCCTGAAGATATGGGAGTCCGTCACTGTTAACTGCCTTCCCACTTTCCAGAATGCCCATAGTTGGCAATGGTGGTTCAAATCACAAAACCAGATTCCCAGCTCTCAATTAATGAGCCCCACAGAGAGGCTGAGACACACTGTGGGAAAGAGGAACAGAGGAAATCAAATGAACTGAGACGCAATCTCCCATCCTTGGTGGGTGGCAAGGGGCTTATCAGTCACAAAGGAATAAAAAACACTATCATCACTAATGTAATCTCAAGTTCAAGGAGGGGAAATAAGCAGAAAACTGAGTGCCAGCAATTTACTTCTTAAAATTAGTCCTGACTTCATAGTGACTGGCCTAGAAAAACAACAGAAATCTTCAGCTCTCTGATGAGGGGAAACTGGCCAGCATGCTCCCTCATGAGGATGGTTCAGCACGCCTGGCTGACACACATGCACCTCCCATACCCAGTGTGTCCTAGCCTCAAGGCCAGGTCCACCTCTTCTCCCCAAGCAGTGGTGATCCACCAACGGAACATAAGCACGATGAGTGACACCACTCCTCAGTTTATAGCAGGAGAGCCCGATGCCGCTATCAGGCTCTCCAAGCTCAGAATGTGACCTCCCTTGGAAATAGTTTTTGCAGATGTGATTAATTACATTAAGATGAGGTCATAGTGGAGAGCAGTGGGCTCTACATCCAATGTGACGGGTATCCCTGTAAGGAGAAGAAACAAAGGGAGAAGACGAAACATATAACGACAGAGGCACAAGACAACAGGGTTGTGTGATAATGGAGTCACAGGGAGAAGACGCAGGGTGACAATGGAAACACGAAGAAGTTAGCCGTGTGAAAACAGACACAGGGAAAGACAACCGTCTGAGAATTACTGAAGGTGTCTATGTCACCCAGAGTCTGCAGAAACAGCAGAGAATCAGTTGTGCGTGATCAAGTAGCCAATGCCCACTAGCCACTATTTAAGCTCAGTGCTCAGCATTTCATCAGTATTGTTCATTTGTTCAGTTTTTTTTAGTAAAAATCAGCAATACAAATTAAACTGAGCCAAAAGGAAAAAAGGTCAACAAATGCTTTTAACCTTTCAAAATGCCACCAAATTTTAACACCAAGAAGGCAGCGATTTGCAATGGTTCCCAAATGAAGGAGCGCTCGGAAGGAGGCCAGCTTCCACACCCACAGGGAAATAGCACTTGCTTGCTCTGACGATGCAGTGCCTCCCCCACGCCACTTGGACTCCCAGTGGTGACTCCACAGCAAGTCCATTCATCCCCACCCTTACCCCCATCCCCATGTGCTTCTGCTCTGAGTCCCACTGCCCACCTTCCCCACCAGTTCTAGAATGTTCTCCAAGACTCCGCCTAATAACCTGTGTGTCACAGCCTGCACACAGGTTCCAAGGCACCCCTCCAAATCATCGGTACCCCTTCCTAGTAGCCCTGTGACTCCCTATGGGAACAGTAATCCACCACCCAGAGGCCATCACACTGCACAATGCTGGGCCAATCCCGGCCACTCTTGGAGCCTCAGCACAAGCACCGTTCTCCGTCAGGACCTTCACCATTAACCACTGCAAGTGTGGACAACTGCCTCGTGACTCTTGGAGCTGCAGTTATTCACATATATCTAACTATATACTGTGCAGTTGGAACCACTTCTTGTTCATCTTTACATCCTAACAGCACCTTGCATTGTGGGCTACACTGCCAAATACCATCATATGGCTTGTCTCCATGCAAACACACGTGTTCTAAGGCCGCACACACATGTGTGTAATGCCTACAGATCTGAGTGGTGCCCTCTGCACTAGGCATCATGTTCTAAAGCATGCGTTGGCAGTTGGTCGGCAGACTTCTGTCTGCTTTTGAAAGTCAAGTTTATGGAACACAACCACACCTATTTGTTTACATTTGGTCTGTGGCTGCTTCAGAGCTGGATATACACAACACAGACCCTATGCCCACAGCCTAACACATCAACTGCGTGGTCCTTAGAAGTCTGCTGACTCCTGCAACACTATTCATCTGAGAACTGATTAATTCCCACCTGAGGGACTGATGTCAGCTCATTTCACATGCAGTTTCTCAGTAAGCTACTTAAAATGCTTCTCAAGGTCTGAAAGGCCCACTTCCTGTCTTCCCCATGGGCTGGGTACCAGGCAACACTTACTAAAGGAAATGCTCAACCCAGAAATCCCTCTCCTTGCTCTGTGACTAGTTCTGACGTCCTCACCAATCCAATAATGGAGATCCTGACTCATCCCAGAAGCCCTACCTCACAGGTCCCACCCTTCAGACAGGTCCCCCTTTAAGGAGGTGAGAGAGAACAGGAAACGCACACTTACACCGGATCCCATAGATAGTGAGGGGGTCGAGCTGCTTCTTGCCATGCTTCCCCTGGCCTGAGAGGTTGGACACGGCCTGCACCTCCCGGTGGAAGAGGTAGTCCAGCAGCGTCAGCGCCATCTTCTCGGCCGTGCGGCAGTTGGTGCTGATGTGCAGCATGTCGGAGGGGATGATGGCGCAGCGCACCCGCATCTCGGGGTTGTTCTCGTCCCCCAGCCATGTGCCATTGGGGTAGTCCTCTGAAAGAGAGAAGGGGAGTCTCAGACAAACTCACACACTCCAAAGGGCCCAGTGATATATACACAAGGAAGATCCATGGGGGATGACAGCAAATCGCTCCCCCAACTTTCCAAGTGTTGACCAGGAACACTGAGGCAATTCCTGTGGTCACAAAAGAGTGATATGGAATCTTACACCTGATCAACAACAGAAACGAGGACATCATTCTCCAAGGATTGGACTGGGATTCTGTTGATCAACTCAGGAAGATCAATGTAATATGTTGTAATACAAAAATGTTCTGCCTTGGAGACTGGCTTCCACAGGGCTAAGCCCACCTGAGAACTCACGGAAGGTAGAGCACTGTATGTTGTAGGCACACTTGCCATCTGCCCGATGGCCTGCCCAGAGCTCTCACAAGTCTGATAACAGGTAACGATGGAGACTCCACAACGCCGATGACAACACTGCCGAGGACCCCACACACACGCCGGTATGTCTGGAAGAGGTGGCATCGGACAAGCTCTAGCCTTAAACCCTGGATTCTCTTTACAACTACAGTAGGACAAAGAGCTTTTTAATACTTAGGTTTGTTTTCAGCATCACTGCATCAGGAAGGGCAGCAAATTAGAGTGGCCTGAGAGTTCCAGCATCAGGGAAGAGAGAGGCCGCTCACAGAATACACTCGCTTGGGTTACGGCTGTGAATCTGGCCATATTAGCGCAGGACAGCCACACACAGTGTTCCATCTCTGGGATGAGAAACAATGCGCAATCCTGTGTTTAGAGGACTCTGTGACTCAAGTCTCCACTTGGAGCTGTTCCAAGAAGAGGCCACTTGGAAGCTGAGCACATCCTAAGTGAGACAAACTATTTGCATGATGTAAGCTGTTGTTCTGACCTGCTGAGGAGTTGAGTGGCAGCCAGCTCAGCATGAATAAAGGTCTCAGGGGATGCTAAGCTTCCCACACTCCTTTCCGTACTCTGAGTCCTTCCACTGTCCTTCTGTGTGTCATCCCCTCCCCTCCCTTGGCCTCCCACCAGTGAACCTGGAAGTATACAAATCAGAAGCACTTTCCAGCCTCCTGCTCAGAGCACCATGATCCCGCTCCTCTCCTCACCTACGAAATGTCCTCTCCTGCCACTCGTTCTTCCCGTAATCCTGTAGAATGCACATTTGTGGCTTTAAGGTTACTAATTGTGACATGAAGACTACCAAGCCTTGCCCCAGCCTTTGTTTTTCTCAAGGGTCATCTAAAATGCAAACACCCAGAACTCGACATTCATGTGTTGGAAGGGCCCCGTTTTCTCTACCTTCAGGAAGGCCACAATGAAAATGAGGCCACGGAGAGGGAAGAGGGAGGGCAGTGAGGGGCCAGCTCTCCTACCCAAAAGGAGAAGCATTTCACTAAGACCATAACCCAAAAGAACTACCGATTCTGCCTTGAAACTCAGCAGCTTTCCAAACAATCTCTTCTTATCTTAACATGGCAACAAGTTAAGGTACAAGTTATAGTTACTGCACAAATATGCCACTATGGGAGGGAAAGACATCAACAGGGAGAGTTGGAGCCTCCCTCTGGGTGTCCTTTCTGCTTTGTTTTGCCCTCAGCTTTCTGCTGAGTGTCCACTAGGCCTGGGCTGACAAGTAATGTCATAGCTACAGTCACCACTGCCTCAAAATGTCTCATTAACTTTACTCTGAAGCATCTTGATATTTACATTCCAGTTTCTAGACACAGAAGTTGTCCTCAGAAAGGGTGGCCAACCTGTCTTGCTTTGCCAAAGGCCTGAGGCAGAGCAGAAAACCGAGTGGCTAGCTGTCTGACTCATACACACTGCCTCCTTCACAGGCAGCCTCTCCCAGCCGTGCTCCTGAGCCATGAGATTTCCAGGAACATCAGGAGAGGCGTGGTAACTATGGCAAGATGACCCTTCGCCACAGGGCAGACTGGAGGTTGAAGGACTGCTTAGGGCGGTTGAAGCTAGGCTCCTGGCTTTGGCTAAGGCCAAAAAACAAGTCACAAATCTAATTTTTGGAACTCAGAGTAAGAGGTGAGTAAGTAGTATCATTTCTCAGAATTGTTGATGATTTAAGAGTGGAGATGCAGAACCATGACCATATGCTCAGATATATGCATTTTTCTTACCGTCAGTCAGCTACTATTACATTTAACCATTTACACAGAAACCAAACGCGCACATGATCTAAGTATGGATGAGATGGGACCTCTAGAGAAGAAGAACCACACTTCATCAGTAACAGTCAATCCATGAAGCAAAGCAGAGGGAGGGAGGGGAAGCAGAAAGCAGAGGGAGAGAAGTGGAAAGAGAAAAGGCAAAGGGAATGAGGAAAAGGAATGGGAAATGTAGGAGGGAGAGGAGGAGAGAGAGGGCTGCTGTAGGGAAAAGAAAGGGCAGGTGCTGAAGCAGGAACAAAACAGTCTTCTGGGACCAGGAAACTATACTTTGGTTCAAAACATGATTAAAGACAGTTAATGCACTCACTGGGACTGAATATTCATGCTGGAGTCCCCAGGCCGGATGTAAGGGTGTGTCCAAGAGGGGCAGCAGGAGGACTTGGAGGGCTGGAAGGCCATCTACACCTTCCCTGGGAGGCTCCCAGAAACAAACTCTGCCCCTTGTGCCAAACCCTCCAAAATACACCATACTGAGTTCCAATCAAATCAAGCTTGAGAGGGACATTTAGCTTCATGACAGAGATCTTTGCAGAGTGGAGGCTCTGGTTAGTGAGGAAGTTGCTAGAATGAAGGAATCCTAAGATATTCTAGGTGGCTGGCTGCCTCACCAGCTAAAATGACAACAGGCCAGCTTCTCCACATCTGGTTTAGAATTGCGTCGTCACTGCTCTGGGCCAAGCTGGAAGTGAACACACTGAAATTCTCGGCTACATCTCATGGGCACCTGAGTCAGCCAGTAGAGCTGCCCATACTGAGCCGATGAGTAGAGAGGAGGGTGGGTACAATAAACAGAGAAGGGGCAGCTGCAAGATAGGAAGCATCATCTTAGACAGACCAGAGCCAGCCTCGGTAAGGAGAGGACTGCAAGCAGCCAGCCATGGGCAGAATCAGAGAAAAGGGTCCAAAAGAAGGAGCATTTTACACTGGCCTGGGCTGGGAAGGCCATGTGCTCTGGGAACAAAATGGAGCAATTGTGGCCAGAGCAGGAAGAACTGGGCAAAGAGGTGAGTACAGAGGAGTGGACAAGGAGTGACACAATCTGTGCTGAGAATGAATGAATGGAAGATGGGGCAACAGAAAGGGTACAAGTGGCCACTTCTGGGTGGTTTAGCAGTCCAGGAAGGATCCATGAACAAGAGCATTAAATCTCAATATAGAACCTGTGGTGGGTGAACCTTCCCACATTTAAGCACTGTGAATACAGTCAAACCGAAAGTGGTATCCAGTGATACTGCACATATTTAAGTTTAAGTATTTCAGCAGAAGAATCCCATGTGAATCCACAGAAAGGGTGGGCAGCAGCATACTGAACCACTAGAAGTACTGGGCGATGCCACCCTGCCTCCCTGACAGCCATGAACACTGCACAAGGGCCAGTGCAGACGTGAGCTGGAACTCAGCCTAACTACTAACACTACCACAGATTGAGTGGCCTTTCTCAGGAATAACAAGTGAAGTGAACTCTGCTTAGCAAGCTCCTGGTGTTTACATAACATATTTAAAGCAATGTAAACACTGGACGAGAGCTCAGTGTTGTTTTCCAAACAACAAGTCAACATCTTGTCTCTGAGACTGTGTGTGTGTGTGTGTGTGTGTGTGTGTGTGTGTGTGTGTGTGTAATGCCAGCAGGGCAGCCCTCCTCTCAAGAAGGGATGACAACTTGAAGTCTCCATAAACTCACAGTAAATCTTACCTCTTACTCCCGCCCTGAGAACCAGTTTCCTACCAGGCTGTCCTCCATACTCTATTCTCTCCTTCCACCATAGCTGTGCCCTCTGCACCATGAAGTCTCCCACTGGCACCATGGTGCGCAGGACCTGCCCAGTCTTCCAAATCACAGGAAGCAAGAAAGTTTCTGATACTCAAATATCTGCACTAAGAGCACTTCCAAACCCTGTACTTGGCCCCGGTGCTAAACAGTGATATGCAGAAGAAAAAACCATCCTTTTTCTAAGTGTCACCCACTAAAGAGCCTCGTGGTTCCAGGAACAATCAAGAATACAAGCCAACAGCCCTGGTTTGCATAGCTCAGTGGTTATAGCATCAGCCCACACAGGTTTGATTCCTCGTCAAGGGCATGTATCTGGGATGCAGGTTCAATTCCCAGTCCCAGTTGGGATGCGTGCAGGAGGCAACCAACCAATGTGTGTCTCTCTCATCAATTATTGTCACTCTTCCCCTCTCCCTCCCCTTCCACTCCCTCTCTCTCTCTCTCTCTCTCTCAAAAAAAAAAAAAAAAAAAGAGAGAGAGAGAGAGAAACAACAACAAAACAATGCCCATAGACCAGTATTGTAACTTTCCATTTACACAGATGCAGGAAACATGTGTAAAGGCAGATTATTTTCAAACTGATTCTAGACGAAGAATGAAGAAATGACTTCATTTGTTCAACTTAATTCTTTGAAAGCAAAACATGATGTTAAATTAACAACAACAAAATTTACAAATGAAAGTTAAGCCTCTTTTTATGTAACAATTACTCAGGGTTGCAAAAGATATATCAAAGGGTGAGATGTGAAAGTGCAGTATACCCTCTCAGCTGAGGAAGCAACTGTCCAGTGTGCAGCCAGAGAAACGTGAACTGGATAGCTGTTTCCTCACTGGAGAACCATAAGGAAGTCAGCTTCCATGTCCCTCGCTGACCCTACTCCCTGCTGGCACCTGCCTATGGACGAAAGCCAGTCCACAGTGCTATGTAGACAAACTTCTGGAAATGTACCAGAATAGTTTAGAGGATAAACAGTGTCATATTAAATTCCTACAGTAGTTGTTATTTCAGGGAATATTATTCACTACCCGTAAAAAAGTAAGTTAGTCTA